CCCCAGGGGGGATGGTCACGCCGCAATCCCTTCTCCTCCATTCTCCTCTCGGGATCTTGGGCACGCACGCACACGCGCTCGGCGTGAGTTTTAAGCCACCAGGTCCGGGACACGAACTGCGGTCGACTATGTGGGAGTCCAGCGACATAGCCATTACGCTAACTGCTGGTTCCCAATGTGTCAGGCATTTTTGATGGGAAGCTTTCAAAGGTTATTTCCAATTTCCCAGAGTCCACCACACATCAGTACACGGGAAACTATGAGTTGCCATTCAGTGAGTATTATTATGTGCTGAGCACTGGTAAGCACTTCACAACTTATCTTATTTAATCCTGACACACCTGTGTGTAGGTAGCCTATTTTTACAGTGGAGGAAACTTGAGACTCAGAGACTTGGGGAAATTTGTTCAGGTTCTCTAATTCAACAGGAAAGTGAAGTTTGATCATAGGTCTGATATATTCTTTCCCACACAGTAGTAGAAAGAGTAATTTTACTTTTTTTCTTCTAATACTCAGAAGGTGCAAGTGCTTGCCATGGACAGAGAGGAAGAGAGGAAAAAGCAATCTCCCATGGAGTGTGGTCATGCCACGATCCCCCATTCTCCATCTTTCTATCCTGTTGGGATTCTGGGCACACACACATACACACACCCAGCATGTTTTTCAAACCACTGGTGCCAGGATTCAAACTGTGTAGTTGGGGGACAAGCAGATGGCGTAACAGTTATGTTGCTGGACTCCCATATTCGACCATGATTCAAGTGCTAGACCCAGCAGCTTAAAACTCACGTCAGGTGCATGTGCATGCATGCCCAAGATCCTCAGAGGAGAATGGAGGAGGACTGCAGCATGGCCATCCCCCTGGACAGTGATTTCTTGCTTTCTGTCTCTCTGTCTCTGTCTTTTCAGCAAGTACATACACCCTATAGCAAAAAATCTCTCTTGAAAAAAATTGTATAATTGGCTTCATGGGATCCAGCTTCCTTAACCACTAGGCTACAGGGCTTGCATAGAAAACTGCTTTTTTGGGAGGCCATAGGGCACATGTGCTCACTGACAGAGAGGGAGGGAAAGAAGTCACCCCTTGAGGGGATGGTTGTGTCACAATCCCTTCTCCTCCATTCTCCTCTTGGGATTTTAGGCATAACATACAAGCACCCAGCATGGTTTTTTTTTTTTTTTTTTTAGAGGTTTTCGCTATAGGGCGTGGGGGCCTCCCC